ATAACGCTTCAGTGGCAGTGGGCGCTGCTTCTGAAGAGCTGACGGGTCGTAGGGCGTGTCAGGCTAACTTTTACGTGCGATATACTGCGTTGATTCCAAGAATTACAATACTCGCTGTTGTCGTGTTTTCGCCGCAGGCGTTATCTCACAAGTCAGACACTGCGCACTGACCACCTGACTGGATTACGTGGACGGTGGCCGCACAGCGTCTGAGGAAAAAAAATGGTCCGTGCCTTGGTACAACTTGAACGCGATTTTGGTGACAGCTGGCTTTTTCTTCCCTCACGATACATCACCACCACCACCTTTTGGTATTGGACAGCACGATGCAGGAGGTGGATACCTACTATATAAAGAATGAGTTGTGGTAGATTTTTGCATTTTTCTGTCAAAAAGAACAATCTTGGCGTGGAAAGGATCAAAAAGGCGTATTTGCCCCTGCTTTTCAGTAGCACATTTTGCATGCAATCCGCATGATTGAGCACTTAAACATATACTAAGGTGATTATCTTGCATAAACTCTGTTATGTGAATCTACCTCAGCCTACCATACCTTGTGCTGGTGGAGTAATAAGGCACTATTTTGGTGAGAAATCGATTTTCGCATTCGAGTTGTACCAAACGAGGAACCATTTTTTATAAGACGCTGCACCGCCTGATAATACAAAACGATGTCGGCTAATCCTTGCACAGCGTCTGATTAGTGAGATAGTAGAATTGGTAAGCACAGAAACACTACGTAAAGTCACGTGGTTGCCCACTGATTAGTAACCCTGTAGTTAAACTTGCTCTTAGCATTATGTACAAGACAAGACTTCACATGCACTTAATTGCTTACAAAATGAGATGTATTGAGTAATATGATGTTAGACGAGGCTGCTGGATATTCTGGGTATCCTTTTACGTCTCGAAGAAAGGCCCTATTGTCTTTGGGCAGAAGGATTAGGGCTCAATTACCTTAGCTATAATAACGTGGTTCACAAGCGAATTGCTCACGCCCTACCAGCACGTCAAAAGCTGACGCTATAACGCGTCATGTCTCAATAACGCAGCTCTCAATTAACTTATAACGAATCCGATATTCAACTCGCTCTTTTTGATATTGAATCTCAACGTGTTTAAAGTGTAAAACATGCTGCAGAGATATGTAACGTCCCTCGAACAACAATTCAACGGTGACGCGCTGGAGAGCGCTCCCGACGCGACTGCAAACCGAATTCAAAGCGCCTAAATAAGTTAGAAGAGGAGGCTATAGTTAAGCGTATTCTTGAAGAGTCTACGCGAGGATTT